AAGGCGCTGTTGCCAAGTGAGGATGCCAGGCGCTGGTGCGGGCTGCGCGAGACGGCTGAGGCGAGGGAAACGGCACTCGCGCTCCCGACATGTGCCGTAGGTGATTGTGTGGGCTTCCGCGGACGGCGTGTGCATTATCCAGGTTAACCGGTGCGAGCCGCGTCCCTGCCGTGGTGGCTGACGTTTCAGCTAACATGCCTCTTCATAACGTACTGCTGAACGACGGTACGCTCTGAGAAAGGCTACCACATGTTGGCCGAAACGTCAGACACCACCACAGATATCAGCCAAACTGTCGATCACGAGCTACTCGTATCACGTGGGGTAATTTCCGGTAGATCACGGTCATGTTCAGTGTTGGCTAACCTGGACTTGCTCTACAGAGTTCAGACAGATGACTCTTCTTTGTCTTGTATACGGTGTTATTGAAATTTGTCTGATATAGAGAAATGTATGTTTATAAAAAATAAACAAATGTAAAGTTTTGAAAAAAAATAAAATTTTATAATTTGGTTTCTTGGTAGCCTACATTAGGACTGAAAACGGTGGTGGTTGCTAATAAGCTTCATGAGTTTGGTGACCGCTGGTCTAGACAATACAGATGCTATAGTTGTTGCACACACGATCGCGACTATGGCAGCGAATGCCAGGAGAGCGGGCACGAGACTGGAAACGAGTCGCGAGCAGCAGTGGCAACAACAAAAAGAAGACAAGAAACAAATGAGACGCTGGGATAGTGGCGTTTGTGGCGGGGGTTGTGTGCGTCACCGAGTCGTTGAAAGGGTCAGTTCATCGAGGCAAAATTGGTGACAGGAGCAGCAAACAAGGGATGATTATCGTGTCAGAGACGTTAGGGATTCTGGGGACAGCAGTTCGGTCGGCGGCTGCAGCCCCTGTGATCAGCGTTCGTGGAAGCAGGGGGTGAGCTCCAATAGTGTTAGCGTTAATGGGTGACGAACAAATTGCAAACGGTCCGCGCAGTGGTGAAAAAGTGTGCCTGCCCAACATGACGAGGGATCATATAGAGATTACGTTCTCTCCGCTATGACCTACAACCAATAAATTCGAGGGATTACTAATTAGTAATTGTATTAACTTCATTAATTACACTTATTTCTTCATAGGTTCATGGTTTGATCACATGTAACTATTTTAGTCGGCAGTTAGAGGATTCAAAGTTTAATTACCTCTAAATTGACTGGACAACCAATGCATATGAAAATCAGTTGCTCCTCATGCCCTAGCTTACCACAAGCGTGTTATAAATCTTCTTGTTACCCTCATGAAATAATTTCCACACGTTTGAACCGCGCAAACATCCAGCACTTTGAAAATGATTGTTTTAAACGTGAAAATAACTGCATTGAAACCCAGTTTCGAATGTTACTCATAACCCGCACCACGGAGTGGAGGTACTTACGAAAACAATAGCAGAACGTTTTAAAAGGCATCAATCCGTAAATCACAACATTAATAAACACTGGTTTTAGATGCCTAAGACCGTGTCATTTTCGAGTTACAACCGATGGTTACACGTCTTGCAGTTCATTGTGTATTGTGGTTACATACGCTTCTTCTCTCTTTCCCTGTATCACAATAATGGCAGAAGATTGGTTTCATGCAGATCTGTGGGGTAATAATCTCTCCAGCAGTAGCACACTCACGAAGTCTTGTGTCGAGTAAAGGGCTATGGCAGTGATCACAGGAGACCCTCGCATATCCCTCAGGCGCAAATAGATGGAAATCCGAAAGGGGGTGGGGCAAAACCGAAACGTAACCCAACCGAAAAGAAAAGGAACGGCCTAATGATAAAAGGAGCGGATTTTCATCCTTAACTATATTTTGCGAGGCTTCGCGTCAAGCGTGCCTCGGTCCTTCCCGCGGGAGCTGTGCGAAGGGCCGTGTGGCAGCGGCCGCGCGGGCGGGCGGACCGCCGAGGCTGGCGCGGCGCGACCTCGAGTCAACGACTCGGCGCAGACGCGGACGCGGGCGCAGCTAGACGTCGCGTGGGTGGCGCGAGCCGTGCCAGTCTGCGCTTGCTGCGCCCGCTGCGCCTTCCGCCTTCCACGCGCCCGGCTGCGACGGCTCAGTGGGAGCGGCCGCTGCCTCGGCAGCGTCGTTCGCCGACAGCTCGAGACAATGAGGAGGCGGGTTATCGACGCTCCCGAACTAGCTGGGCCCGAGGTCACCATTCTCTGAAGGAAAATTCTAGCGGTCGACTGCTTTGATCAGTAGTTTCTCCGATCACCACCAGGTGAATGCAGGGGCATTAACCCTAATAAATGAGTGGAGGACCGGGCGTGATTTTTCCTCCCTCATCTTCGTCCACCCTTCCCACCTTACTATCGACTACACTACCACATATCGGGAGCTTAGAGCCCCCCCCCCTACCTGAAGGGTGCCTCGCTGTGGTAGATACAAGGAGAAGTAATATTCCGCAAGCCAACATGAAAGTCGGCGCCTGATCTCACATTCTAACAGGGAACACTGACAATTTCAGGGATACAAGAAGTGTTGAGTTTCGGGGAGTAATGACCATAGTAGCGGACACGCAGGGAATCAAATCTCACAGAATACACCTTTCTGCTCCTCCTGTGCGGTCACTGTCAAATCAAATTCCGTTGCACACGTTTGATGTTAAAGTTTACTAACCCAACAACAAGAAATCGATTTTTAAAAACATCGAAGGTTTTTGACCGATGTATTATTATGGATGTTTAAATTTTGAACATCGATTTTTGGCAGTGTCGATGTTTTGATGTTGAAGTCGCATCCCCACTTGCTGCTCCCGTGCGCGGGCGAAGGGTTCTGGCGTCAGTGTCGGTCGGACGTCGTGGGACAGCGCGCGGGTCTCCAGCGGCTGCCAGCGCTGAGTCACCGACTGATGCACCACTCTGATTCGCTTCGGTGCATCCTGAGGAAAGGTCTGCCACTGAACTCTGCTAAATGCCATGCGATTGTTCTAAGGTTTGCTCACTCTATGCCTTGTTCCAGGAAACTAGTGCGTGTATTAACAATCCTAACACATCGTAAAAACCCATTGAAGCACCAATAATGAACGTGATGCATTGTTATCGATTCGATTCCTAGGTTCCCACGTGATCTGGACGCCAGATTTTGTCGCTTTCAACACCAATTCACTTTTTCACCAAACTTCAGAAAATTAACGTAAATAAAACACACCTATGGATGGGAAAGACTCTCATTCGAAAGAAAATTGTTCAATTTTTACAAGTGGTAAAAACCTAGAAATTAGTTCTCCATGAACGACTAATTATATTAATTAACTGGGCACTACAAAAAGTAATAGCCTTTTCCACAAGTTTTTTGCGCTACGCAACGTTTCGCAATGTTACGAAAAAGGCTTCAGGAACAAGTTCAGACTCGCTTGTCAACACGGGCGGTAGGTCAACAAACCCTGCAGTTTGGTCAGTTCCGCCGAGGTAGTATATGACTAAACGTCAATACGTTCGTGAATGTGAAAAAGGATTACCCACAGTTGCGACACAGACAAAGGGAACGCATAGAATGAAAATAACAATACTATCAAAACAAAACAAATCTTTACAATTCTACTACAAATTTAAAACATATAGTGTTCAATAAATTAGTGTAAGGAAAGAGAAAGGAAAACTTGGAGGAAAAAAAACAACAAACAACTGTATCGACCGCTAGGGCACAGGCCAGCCATAACATACACGAATTAGAACAGACCCTAGAAACACGAAGTCGCCACGCGAGACAAACGAACTTAACATTCCCCGAATGGGTTCAACCGCAAACATCAACAAAGCACCTGCGACAATAAAACAACACCGCGCGCGAGCGAACAGCGTTTATTCCGCCCCGCGCGGGGCTCACTTCCTCATTCCGAGTGATCCGGGGTCGCGCCCCGTCACCCGTCACC